CGGCTCCTGGATCCGGAGGGTGGGAGGGGACTGGGGGCCCAGGGGCCCAGAAGGAGAGATCGGGGCCCGGGACTCGAGAGAGGAGGGGTCGCGGGGGCCGGCACCCCCGGGTCTCAGGTCAGGGGGCTAGAGCCGGCTCGCTCACGTGGCGCTCAGCCCTTCCGCCTCGGCATCCTTCTGCTGGTCCTTCTGGGCCGCCATGTCTGCGTTGTGAGGGGTAGAAATGGCTGTAACGGGCCCCGGGACCCGCAGCCCCTTTGGGCTCCGCCCGAGCCCGGCCTCACCCAGCGGAGCCGACGTGGCCCGGCGCCGGAGCCGCTGGGGGCGGGAATTCTGCCGCCGAGCGTTGTGGGAGTTGAAGTCCTGATGGTGTCTGAGGGGGCGGGGCCATGATGGCGACCTGGCTCGCAAGACATCTTGGGAAATGTAGTCCCAGGGAGCGACGGTTCCCGCCTCTAGGCATTATGGGAGTTGTAGTTTCGGAAGCTGGCGCGTGGAGTTGGCGTAGGTGGGCGGTCGGGAGCGAGTGCGCTCTGGGAGCTCTAATGGCAGGAGTGGGCGTCGTGTACTTTCTCATGGAGAGCACAATGGGGACGGTGCAGAGCTGTCGTTCTGACTCTAGAGGGCATAAAAAAACGCCCGGAGGACTTCATTAAAACACTGATTCTTGGGCCTCACTAAGTCTGATTCAGCAAGCTCATAATTTGCATTTCTAAGTTCCTAGGTGATGCTGCTATTGGTCCTTGGATCACATTTTGAGTAGAGAGATTGGAGAGATTGGAGAGAATTCCTTCCTCAAGAGCCAGAGGCTAGTGAGGGGGGCCATGGTTGCTGGAGGGAGTGTCTGAGGTTGGACTCCTAAAGATGTATAGGTTAGAACTAGAGACATGCCCTCACATATCTCAATCTCATACACCTTTGGATAGGAGGGAAAGAAGTTGGGAAAGGGAAAGCATTGATAATTTTTAAAAGCGGGAACTGCTATTCCTAAGAGTTGGAATTCTGAAGTCAGACTCAGGAGACAATCCAGGCTGTGTGTGTGGCTTTGACCTAGTCACTTCCCTGAACCTCAGTGTCTTCATCTGGACAGTGGGATCCTAATGATACTAATGGGATGATGATAATTCAGTCAAGTGGCCTATGTAAAGTGCTTGAATGAGTCTTGACACTTTATAACGGCTCAATAAATGTTAGTTGTTATTGCCACTATGTTATTAGGAATGTTTTGATGATGATGTCTAGAATTCAGTCTCCTCAAATTTAACAGTAACGTCTTGGGGGCTGCTGTCCTCTTGGGTGTCCCCAAGAGCGACTAGTGTCTGAGGCATGGGCCTTTCTTTTCCCTGGTTCCCACAGTCGTGGTTCTCAGTCTAAATAAATTCCTCAGTGGCCTGCCCCTGCCCTTCACTGAACTGTAGAGAAACAGGGCCAGAGTTCTAAAGTGAGTCCCCAGAACAGGGTCTCAAGAAATGTGTATGGAAGTATTGGAAAGCCTGGGCTCCTTCATGTGGACTGAGATTTTGCAAAGCTGGTGGGGCTTTGGGACATGGGATATCCAGGTGACTCTTTTAGCCCCGGCTGGTCTTACAAGATCACCCCTCCAGGGTTTGTGCTTTGAGGTCTGCTGGAAGGCATTCCTAGGAGGTGGGGGAAGATGGCTCCTGCCCAAGGGCCTGGTGGAACAGGCAGGGAGGCCCCCCGCAGGGGTCCCAAGCTGCAGATGAAGAGGACATACTTTGAGGATCAGATTAGCTAGCTGTTGCTTCTTTCGTCTGTGTCACCCTTAAGCTTTTAGTGGAGTCTTGTTCAGGTTTTCCAACATGGGCCCCATTTTGCTTCTGGAAATCAGAGGCCTGTGAATGCAGTTATTCCAAAGGGTGAATAGTGGGGCAGCACCCGAGTTCAGAGCCAGGGCAGCAGAGATAATCCGTGGACTAGCCACCACAGGAAGATGAAGCTTGGGGAACAGAGGTGAGGCTAAGGCCCAGCTGCCTCACCATGGCCGACCTTAGAAAAGCTGAGTTTGACTTTTGTTATGAGAGCAGTTGGGTTTCCTTACAGGAATTTTTTTTTTTGAGTTGGGGTGTTACCCAGTTGGAGTGTAGTGGTGCAATCACAGCTCACCGCAGCTTCAACCTCCTAGCTTCAGATGATCCTTCCACCTCAGCCTGCTGAGTAGCTAGGACTACAGGTGCGTGCCAGTACACTCAGCTAATTTTTAAATTTTTGGTAGAGATTAGGTCTTACTATGTTGCCTAGACTGGTCTCAAACTGATGAGTGCAAGCAATCCTCCTGCCTCAGCCTCCCAAAGTGCTGGGATTATAGGCTTGAGCCACTGCTGTCACTCTCCCTATAGGAATTGAATAAAAGCAATTTCATTCCACAACCCACCAGTCTTTTTTCTTAGCAGAGGCCAGGAGATGTCTAACAGCCTGGGCCATGGCTAGAGGGGGGGTTCCAAGGAGGGAGACAGTGTGCCTGTTCAGAGGCAAGGACATCGTGGGGAGGGGTGCTCTGAATGGAAAGGTTGGGGAACTTTGAGAGAATTTCAGGAGATGGGGCCTGGACACAGGTGCAATTGGGAGGGGACTTAAGGCAGAGATATTGAGAGACATGATGGGAGATGAGGTCCCTGAGACAGGGGGCCTATGGCAGATGGACTGACAATTCCCAGAGATGTTGAGGATGTGGAGCAACTGGAACTTTCTTATACTGTTGGATGCAAAATGACACAAAAGCTTTGGAACCAGTCTGGTGATTTCTATGAAGGCTGAATACAGTCTGTTTCATGACCCAGCAATTCCACTCCTAGGCACATGTGTAGCCAAGAGTGCATGCATAAATCCTTAATAGATATAGCTGGAAGGTTCCCATTCGTAGCAGCAACAACTGTAATAGCCCCAAACTGGAAATAGCCCAAATATCCCACAACAGGAAAATGGAAAAATTGTGTTATAGTCACATGATGGAATACTACACAGCAATGAAGAGGAATGGGCCACCGACACATGTGACAATGTGGATACCTCTCACCGACACAGTGCTGAGGAGAAGAGGTCAAACACAGAGACGGCAGGTTGTAAGATTTCATTTATATGAAGTTCAAGAATAGGCACAGCTAACATGTGATGACAGAAATCAGGCCAGCAGTTGCCTCTAGAGGGGAGTTGATTGGAGAGGGGATCGAGGGGGCTTTCTGGGTGGAGGGAGAGGTCCTAGACCTTGGCCTGGATGGTGGCTACATGGATGTAATTTTAAGAATCATTGAGCTGTACCCTTAAGATTTGTGCACCTTACTGTATGAAAGCCTCATGGTGGCACAAGCTTATAATCCCAGCACTTTGGGAGGCGGAGGTGAGAGGACTGCCTGAGCCCAGAGGTTCGACACCAGCCTGGGCAACTTGGCGAGACCTCATCTCTACAATAAATAAAAAAAAATTAGCCAGGCATGTAGCTTGTGCCTGTAGTTCCAGCTACTTGGAAGGCTGAGGCACAAGGATCCCCCGAGCCCAGCAGGTCGAGGCTAGAATGGCAGTGAGCATGCCACAGCACTCCAGCCTGGGTGACAGAGTGAGACTCCTACTCAAAAAAAAAGTCTCAATAAAAAGAGAGACCAGCGTAATGAGCTAGAGCTCAGACAGCCTTGGTTCAGGTCCCAGATTTTTTTTTTGAGTTGGAGTCTCACTCGATCACCCAGACTGGAGTGCAGTGGCCGCTCCCGGCCACCGCAACCTCGACCTGC